AAAGAAAAAGGAAAACACGTGGGGAGTAAGGTTAGGGCCTGCAAGGAATGAGAAAGAACGGATAGAAAAGCAAGGAATTTGTCTCAGAGATTTCAAATTTCTCTATCCAGTATGTCGCTCTGCCAATTACGACACTGGCCCGAGTGGCGACAAGGCAGCCAGTTGATAAGTGAAAAAATTAATAAAAGTAACGGCTATTTCTACGAAGGTTACTTTGTTAGTGATCAGCATGCTCATTTACTTCCTGTACCAGTTCCCGACCTTGTAGCTCAAAGTTTGCAAGTATCGAAAAAAGGACAAAGGTAATGGGTTAACCCTTAGAAGAAAATACTGTACTCATAATCAGCATGCTGCTCATCTACCCTCCCCCCCCCTATGCCAATCCCAGCCTTCAGCTGCAAGTAATCGATAAAATCGATAGGTAGATTTCTCTTCGATTTCTACGTCTTCTTCTCCTCATTACACCGCCATTTGTTCCAGAGTTCAAGGCGGGGGGGGGGGGAGAAGGGTCTGCAGTGGCTCCTATTCAAACCAGCGCTATGACCGTGTGCAAAAGCGGAGCATACTCGAGTTTTTTGGTTTCGGGTTTATATTATAAGAAAGTATTGCTGAAGCTCTCAGAAAACAAAATTTGGTAGGTTGACCGTAAGTGCAACTTTTCAATCTTATTGCTGAAAAACTCTACAGGTGCTTCTCATGTAAATTGTTTCGTTCTCATGTTGGTTCCATACATAACGACGATGTTGTAGCAAGCACGATATAGGATAAATCAAAATACAAAAACTATCAAAGCAACCGCAAGGTTAACAGCACTGAAAAAAACGCTTGATACTAGGAGTTAGATTACCTATTGTTTACCTTATGTAACCGGGCGCCAGCTTTTTTCTTTGTTTTAGTCGTAATTTTTCAGCATCTATCTCATCACGATCTTCTTCAGCGCCTGATATCTTCTTCAAATGATCAATGAGAATGAAGGGCGTACATTTATTAGACAAACGAAAGTGCATCATGTTTGTTCACAAATAACAAGATATGTACAAGGTACAAGATATCTCAAAAGTATGCATCCAGTGTTTATCAAATCCCTCACTTTCTTGCAGACTGAAAACATTTGGTAGGGCAGGCTTCGACTTAGATTTGAATTACAGAAGAAATCACCGATACCTCTTTGTCGAAAGATAACACTAGGACTTTTAGCAAATGTGCATTGTGAATTTGTTACGTTTAAAAAATTTGAAGAAGTTGAAAAGTTGCGTAGCAGATTCCACGCTCTCTGATTTCACTACTCAGCTTTTTGCAATTCTATTAATCTAAACGGTGTAATGTAATCACTGTTTTGAGAAACAATATATAGTCACGGTCCTTTAGAGCTTTAGCGTCTAATTTTAAACTTGTTCGCTCTCATGCGCAGATAGTTGGAGCGTCATGAAATGCGCTGGTTACTCAAGCAGCGCTGTCAAGCATTTTAATATAAACAAAGAGACTGGATAATCAGGATTCTAATAAACAGCTGGATTTCAACCGAGGTTGTCGTTGTAGTAATTTTTCTGGCACCAACATGCCTGTCATTGTTGAAATAGATATTGAGCAAAGCGAATGTTTCCTTGTACTCATAGAAAGGCAAATACTCAAAGAAAAGACAGCAAACTGCTGGAGATCGCTGGTAGATTACACAAAACATTTAGAAAACGCGGCTTCAACGACTGCTTAGTAAATTCGTACTAAAGGCTAATAGGAACAAGAGAGAGACGTTGTAAAAGTCACGTCGCTAGAGCAACAGGACCAAAGTTTTCGCGTTTGGGCTACGTTTCCTTTCTGGTGGGGATGTTGATGTACGCGGCCCAATACGAGAAAGCAGAAGAAGAGTGGATTAATTAAATGTTGCAGTTTCTTTATGGGAGCCGCGGCTAGAGTGGTTTTGAGATAACGTTCAGTTAGGATTAGTTTCAGCGGATTACATAAGCACTCCTCGTTTTGACTCTTTTCGCACTTTAACTTTCGCACTTTCGTACTCGCAACGTGACAGATGGACACAGCAGACAAAAAACAGATGGTGAAAACTTATTTGCACAACAGTGGCAGTCCCGAAAACTTTTTGCAAACTGTGGATGAATGGGCCTCTTCTCCTCTCATCCTGTTGACTAGTTTTTCAAGTGGTGGTTGTCTGCCCTTGATTTTTGAAGAATCATGCTGAGCTTTATTGTAGCAAAGATTCACCTTTAACTTTCTGGCTTACAACCTCGAATGCTTCTGCTGATTCACCCATCCAAGCTGCATCGTTATCATTCTCAATATCTAGAAATGCAGTTGGATTGTATGTTTATAGAGTTAAGCAACATAATCTTATTTTCAGTATCTGCTGTATGTTACAAGAGATGTAAATATCGAAATCGGATAACATTTTGTTTAAAATCGAAGCTACATTCTACAGGTCTATACTACAGAAGTTTCCTTGGAAAGCTATATCTGGAGATGCTTTATATCGCTGAATGATCAACTCGAAACAGAGGCCTCAATGGGGATCAGCTGTTCACGTATCTCGTGAAGCATGCCACAGCTATATGCTTGGTTTGGTGTAGGTTTTTACACAATGTCCATTAATTGGCAATTTAAAGAACTATCGCTAGTTCATATTTTGTGTTTGCTTTAAGCTACGCTGTTAATCTGTACTCAATCAAGTACCATTCGCATTTCTAGCTCAGCTCGAAGGCAGAAGCAAATTTTTGAAATTTCGGGATTGCTATGGTGGCATTCAACTTTGGAGTAGGCACAAATCCAAAAGCCTTGATTAAAGAGCATTTGAATAAAAAAGTTCTTACCCACCCTCCACTTAACGATGGTCGAAGCGGGCTTCCACCCTCATCTGTTATAAATTACTGAGCTTCAAAAAACAGCATCCAAATTCAAAATTTTATTACATTCACCTTTCTGGCCAGCGCGGCTAAACGGCTCCTCTTCGATAGTTTAGTATTGTATATAATAAAAATTGTCTACATTAAGCACACTTAACTGCATTTTTTGACGTGAACCAGACTGAGATATCGGCGAATTAACATGGGTAGCCGTTGCGCATTTTGTGATTCAAAAATTGCCAAAGCTTTGCTGAACTCTGTAAGCGTAGTGCCAGGGCATCGTATAACAGTTTTTTTGCAAAAATCCAGCCGTTTAGTACGCAGAAAATATCAAAAAATTTTATATTTGGGACTTTGAGGCATATCGAAAAAATGTTAAAAAACTAACAGTTTTGAATTTTGATTGTTTTCTTTTCGCAGATTTTTTTCAGACATTTTTCATCGTATTTGTACTACTAGCTTTCTACAAGATGGGCCACTTATCATTCACAGTGACAATCTTTGAAGAAAGCTATGAATTGCCAAAAATAAGATTTCAAAATGAAAAACTTTTTTGTTAATCTATATTTTTATGCCCACTTGTGATGTTAATACAAATAAATATGCTCTGCATTGCAGAAAGGTTGCTTTTGAAAGTTTTTGCCGCTTTCAGAAATGTGGATTTTAAAAAGTTATAGGCACGTCAAATTGAGACTTCGCAAAACAGCCATCATTTTTGCATCAACTCAACAGAAGGAAAGAAATTGAGGCAGATTCTTAATAGAAACACTATGACGGTCAATCTTAACTTTTTTTCCTTCACAAAAGAGTTCGACATGGATCTCATACTCAAGCAATTCACTGGAACTTCCGCAAGATATGCAAAGTCTGAAACGGTTCCGCAAAATTTTGTTTACCATTACAAAACTGAAAAGTTAGAAGTGGAAACTTCTGTAGGATTTTCACGTCAGATTGAGTGGAAATGGGAAATTCCGCCGGGCTTTCTGCAAAACTGCGGAAATTCCGAAAACAACATAGGTTTCGCAGCTTAACCTGCCAGTAGTTTTGCAGAACTTCAAATGTGTTGTCTCTTACGACGTCGTTGCGCTAACAACTAGAGTGCATTCGAACATGTCATCCAGTGCAGAAGATAGTGAGTGAGTCTCGCAGTCACAAGAGTAAAGTTCAAATTCGCTTAAAAGTTCCTTTAGCTGTTGTGATTCGCATTCTTCGGAACTTCTGCAGGTGATCCGGCGGAACTTTCCCAAACGCTCTGCGGAAGTTCGGCGAGTTGCCTGGGTAAGCCGGTATACAGTGTTGGATGAATATCACTAGAAGAATATAGCGCTTTGAACGACTTGAATTTGAAAATTATACTACAAACTCAATTCTTCTTTAGGCATACTGAAATCAAGAATTTTAGAAAGACTTGAACATTTTTGCATTATTTTGCCTTTTTCGCATTCAAAATGGGTTCTTATAAACAAAAATCTGCATATTCAAGCCACCTTCGGCATGAAAGCCTTTGATTTTCTCACTTTAGAGAAGTGGTTAAAAAATCCAGCATTTATCTTTTTTCATAGGTGTGTCTTTCGTCAATCAATTGTACGCAGAGACTGGACGCCTCTTCGTCCCACTAAGATAGTTTGTGCTTGCAGGAGGGCAAGAGAGATGAAAGAGCGCGTAATAGTTCGGTAACTCTTCTCCCCAAAACAAAGATGCAAGAATAATTTTTTATTCAAAAATTATATATACACATTGCAATACACGTGTAAATCAGAAGACTATGCCTTCGTTTATATTATAAATCAATAAATCAATAGTTGAAAGCTAGCGAAACTTTGGTTTAAGCACGACTAGAAAACCATTTTGAATGCAAAGAACTGCACGTAAAATCAAAAAAAAGAAACAGCCCTGGATGAAAAAAGAGGAAGAGTCACATTGACGAGGAGCTGTAGAAGATCGATGACCCTTTCAAAATTTGACATGAATGAAAATTCGCAAAAAACGGGGAGGAATGGACTAATCGAATGTACACTATGTACAATATACTAGTTAGCAGCTATAGCGGTACATGCACAAGCTGCTATGAGCGAGCAGAGAGCCAGAGAAATCATGAGGAGGATGGAATACAGTCGGAGAAGGGGGGGGGGGGGGAGGGAAATAATGTCAAACATATCCTTTGGCCAGGTCTGCCGAGTAAGCCCAGAGTCGTTCTTGGAGCCGTTCATCCGTCGCTTCAGCACCGGACCTAAAAAATCGATTTTTCATTCATTTAGTTCAGCCATGCAAAACAGGTTTCTACAATGAGATTAATTTTTTCCAATTTTTGAAATGTGAGTATCCAAGAAAAAAAACCAGTTCTGCTCAAAACAAAGTTTGAGCTTGTAAGATAGTTTATTTCAATTTTTCTTGGCCATTTTCGAGAGTAGAAGGGAGGGAAAGGGAGACATTGACACAATAGAGAGATTCTGACTGATGAATTGAATGGCAAAGCTTGAGAAGATTTTGCGTTCAAGTAGATTTATTAATATGATTTTAACAGCAAGGGCCATGAAAATTTTAGAACTAGTCTATGAGTCGTAAACTTGAGATGTTTAGAATCTTCTAAGATTGGTATCAGCTTTGTTAAAAAGCCTTTTCGAAAATTTCGCTTGTATCGGTCCATAGAAGCTCCGGAAAGCACCCTTAACTTCCGACGGGCGACCCTTTTCGTTCACTATAGATTTTTGTCGCCCTTCTTCCCCAATCCCCCCCCCCCCAAAGAATTTTTTTTTGTTCCGGGTCGTCACCATTGTTCTAGTATATCGAATCTACTTTAATTTAAATAAGCCTATGATGCCAATGTAAGGAAATGCAAAACTATTAGGTTGGTGCAAAAGTTCTTTCCGCCAAAATTCAAAAATTCCTAACTTGTTTAATTCTCAACGAATCTGCAAGATCTAAATTTTGCTTAAGAGAGAAACTCATGTTCTTTGCATTTGTACCTGAACTGTTCGTTAATGTTCACAAATTAAGGAGATAGAAGCTCAAAACCAAAATCACTCGAAATTTGAATTTTTCGTGTAGGGTCATAAAAAATCGAAAACCTGCAACAAAAATCGGAGCAGTCAGTATTGTAGGTTCTTTCACCAGCTCTTTCTAACGGAGCAAAGTTTGCGCTGATTGAGCGCCTCTATCAAGAGTTATGAATTTCGAGCAAGCAATACAAAAGGGCGAATTTGATTTATTAAGGCATTTTTCAGGGAAATCATAACTTTTTATAGAGAAGCTCAATCAGCACAAACTTTGCACCGTTAGAAAGAGCTGGTAAAAGAACCTACAATCCTGACAGCTCCGATTTTTGTTGCAGATTTCCGATTTTTTTGTGACCCTACACGAAAAATTCAAATTTTGAGTGATTTTGGTTTTGAGCTTCTATCTCCTTAAGTTGTAAACTTTAACGAACAGTTCAGGTACAGATGCAAAGAGCATGAGTTTCTCTCTTAAGCAAAATTTAGATCTTGCAGTTTCGTTAAGAATTCAACAAGTTATGAATTTTTGAATTTGGGCGGAAGGAACTTTTGCACCAACCTAATAGATCACAGTGATTCAAAAGAAAATCTTGAAAATAACGAATAACAGTTCTTTGGCTTCCGTGAACACCTATTTCTTCAAGAAGAACTTGTTGCAAAGACGCAAAAGCGACTGCATTCGGGGGGAATCGAACCCCCGTCGAATGCTTGGAAGGCATCCATGCTAACCATTACACCACGAACGCTCACATGCCATAGTTCTCGAAACCGCTCACTCATTCATGACTGATCGTCGCTATTTTCAATTTCTTTGACCCTTAGATCAATATATTGCTATTTCATCAAAAATCTATCAGGCTTTAAAGAACCGAATTTCTTATGCCACGACGCAAAGAATATTTTTGAATCCCGCTGCTATAACTCATGATGACGCTTTTTTTCGATAATAAAAGTCGGTTGAATCAAAAGAAATCACTTTTTTCTCAGATCCACACTAAATTCTCGCAGCCAACAACTTTGTGTCCCCCAATTTCATTCTCCCCCCCCCCCCCTCCAAGGTGTACGCCGAACAATTTACCTTTCGCTATGCTCGCTGCTCTTTGCAGTCAATTCTCGATAAGTGCGGAAAAACCCCTTGTGCATTCCATAATCCATTCATTCATCGCTTTAGTAGTCTAGCCCCCCCCCCTCCTCCATTCGATGAATGTATAGGCATGTTGCCGATGTGCAAAGCCAGATGTAACAACGGCGCCAATGCGGCCGTTGTTCCCTCGACCGTGAATGCTATCAAAATGGAACGACCGGACTGGCAAATTCAATGAAAATCTCTGTGATTTCAAAAAAAATTGCCCATGAGATGACGCGGTTTGACCAGCGCCCAGTGCATTAGCATAAATTGGATTTGATTTGCGTCATAATCCTATTTATCCCAAAAGATGGGAGCATTGCCGGGCGCAGTCAAATTTCAGACATTCCAGTTTATTCTTTCATGGTTTACGCAAAGAGGCTTTAAAGACCAACCATGAAGCGAGAGCTATTGTCCATGGTCAAATATAAAAAGAAAAGAAAAATGTTATGTCCATGAAAGGCCATTTTCATGTTTTCAATAAAAAAAATTTTGCCCAACAACCATTGAAAAACAGTAGAATAAACGACACCTAATCTGTTTCCCTGTTGAGTCCAAGTATTTCCCTGAGAGATTTTCAAAAGCTGGATTTTCGATCAACTGCACCAAGTTCCCAGCAGCTCGGCACATTGATAACGTTGACATCGAGCTCGATAGCGCAGATGTCGTTCGCCTAAAAATTATTAGTTGAGCAAAGATGTAGCGATTCAAAAATTGACAACTTGACTTATCAAAAACTCAAAACTTGAATTTTTTCGCGAGGAATTTATCACTAACTTTCACAAATCACAGAAATGACGTTCGTAAGCATTGGAATTTCAAACACTTATTACAATTTCTGCATTTGAAAGTTATAATTCTGATAAATTACTAATTGATCAAGTCAGTCGGACTCAAAAGTCGTCAAAAATTGATTCCGATAATTATCTTCAAGCAGCAGGGTTTGGATGGGATATGCGATCTTTAGTCAACAACTTTTTTTTATCAAACTGCAAAACTTGTGATTGAATTCCAGTCCTCGCTAAACCCAATTTTTCGGGTTGTTCCGTTTTTAAATAATTCAAAAACGATACCTGTCACGAGGGCGCGAGACGACGAAAACATTAGATAACTCAAAAAATCTTCTGGATGATACACTATTTCAAAAGGAATTTTAGCATTTTTTGGTTAAATATAGGTCTCTAAGCAAGGTTCAACTTTGCTATCAGAGATATGCAAATTTTACCAGGCATCAAAAATATCATCTAGGGAAATTTCTACAAGCAATAATTTCCAAAACTAGAAATCACATTGGCACGATGCTTTTATCGCTCCACTTCTCAGAAAATACACGAAGAGCTTTCAGTTTTTCAGTTTCTGTAGATTAGACTATGAAACTTGGGTTGCTGGTTGTAACCAGGGCCCGGCAGGGGTGGCGCTTTCACAAGCTGGATATCGTTTTTGGCCCGAAAAAGCAAAGGGGAAGTCGTATTTTGGGGTCCGGGGCTGAGCCCCAGACCCCAAAATACGACTTCCCCTTTGTTTACCGATAAACAATGCACATACATTCTTTATTCATCATTCCTTGTTGATGCTACTGTCCTATGAATTTAGATTCCAGCAATGTGAAGATTCTGTGCTCCGATCGCTAGCCTGCCCGCAGGCGGGAATTTAAATCGCAATTCTTGTAAGAGGAAAACAACAAAATAAGCTCGTTTTCAATGCACAAGTAACAATATGGCACCAAATTTGCTGTGTAGTTGGAGGACCATGAGCACAAAAAAAGTATGAAAAATTATGAGAAACTTATGTGAATTTAAAAAATGGTAAGTATTTTTCGAAATTAGGTGGCTCCCGCGCCACCTGGGAGCCACCTGGGGTGGCTCCCTGCTTCCCTTCACATAATTTCCCGGATTTCTTTACATAAATGTGGACTAGGTCGAGAGTATTACTATATGTTCAAATCCGCTTCCAAAACCACCAAGGCACCGCTTCGATACAGCCCCAAATAGAGTTCACAGCGTTATGATCGGCCTCGGAAAGCGCGCTCCAATCGCAATCGGTTATTGTAAATTGTAAAGTTTCGCAGCTGACTAATAAATGAGTAGTATCTTAGATATATAAACGTCAAAGTTTGTGCAAATCTTGACCCTATGTTTTTTATAGATTCCTTTGCGGATGAACCCATTGAGCTGAAACCTTGATGACCCGGGCTGGACCAGGAAAGCCAGGTAGTACTACTATAATAAGCGCTGAGGCCGCCCATCTCTATTTGTGTATATCTGTTTGTCAGGGACTTACGGGGGTCAAAAATAGGGTCAAAAGGGAAGTCGTAAGAAATTTTGGCTTCAAAGGGGATATCGTTTTCAAAATTCTGAAATGCCACCTCCTGCCGGGCCCTGGTTGTAACGACTCGTTGTGCTTTTTTGTCTTTGCTATCTTTGATATTTCTTAAAACGCCTTCTGGCTAGCTTTCTGGTGATATAACTCTACTAACTGTCCCAGATTTCATATCATTTCCAGTTTTTGGAGATAAAATTTCAAAAAGATCGATCTCGATCTTCTATGATTTCTAAACATAAGTTTTTGTGGAAAACTGGTAAAATTCTCCTCCTCCAAAAGCATTCATTCCTTGTTGAAAATTGAAAGCATGCGATTTGTTGCGAAGTCAAAAAGCTAATAATAATTCTAAAATTGGTGCAAAATTTCGTATTTCACAAGCCAGATTACAAGGCACTTCTCTCCCCTCCACCCCCCCCCCTAAACCCCTGTTCTAACATTTATATTCAGCTTGCCTAGCATAGCCACTCACATCACATCACTTTGACGAAAACTATTATATCCATTTCAGGCAGCCTAAATTCTTTTTCTTCCATCATGTCCATTATCCCGACAGCCAGAATTTTCACGAAAAAATATATACCACTTTCCCCGCCATCAAACTCACATCTTTCCATTGTTATTCGGTTCACGTTCTTTTCCGAGCTCATCCACATTCACAGCCAGATTCCGTCGTGCAATGTTCATTCGTCTGTGAATTGCGAATGCCATAAGATCATCATCTCTATATAAAGCGCAGGGGGGTCCATCTGACGTCACGCTGCTGAGACGATGTCAACAATTCCGTCTTTCTCAAATGCACCCACTGCACCCAAATTGATGACTCATTTTTTGCTTGAGCCTATTCCTCGAGTTGTTGATCAGTGTGCCCTTTCACACAACTCTTAAAGCGGTAGAATCGATCAACTACATTTCCACCAAACGACAGCCTCTCACGCTTTTTGATGACGTGTTGCTCTATCGTATCAGACAAGTTCCACTTTCATATCAAATGTACTGCAACAGCGACCGTAGATGCGAATTTTTCTCATTAATCTTCCCAGTTTGAATAATCGGAAATTCGCTCATCTTAATTGTTTGTGCAAAATTTCCGTACTGCGAAAGCGGACAAAACGGGGTTTTTGCCCACCTTGGGCTGAGATTGAAGGGAGTGGAACAGGCTAGAAAGGTACCGGGGAAGTAAAACGAGGTCTGGAAAGTTTTGGCGAAAAAAAATCTACTCGTCGTCAGAAACTGCCGTTAACGTTCCATTTGTGTATAAAGACAATGTAAATAGAATCAATGCAGTGGCTTCTCTATCAGCTGAAACCTTGCTGAACTCAGAAGTAAGTTGCACATTTAAACCGCACTTTTTTTGCCAAAATATTGCGCAATCCAAAAATCGTATGAGCAGCAAAGATTTGCCTAGCTCAGCAGCTGAAAGCAGAGGCACGTTTCGATGGTGGGATTCAAAAGAAACAACTAACAGCCTACTGAGGTGAGCTGGGAAGTGAGTGGTTTTAGGCCAGTTTGGCAGAAATTTCATGAATGTTTGGCAGTTCGGCCTCTATAAAACGCGAACAGGGAGTTTCGACTGTAAGATTTTTTCAGTTGAAGAAAAGTTGCACATGTTTCCAAAAAAGCACCTTGCCGAGAAAGGGTAGTTCATAAATTCAAAAAAGATTCAAAAGTTGTAATGTCCGCTAAATAGCTTCACAAATATAAGTTGTGATGTCTTGCTGATTTGATCTATGAGTTCAAAAATAAGAGAACTCGAAGAAGTTTGGGGGGGGGGGGGGGAGGGGGAATGGAGATTTCATGCAAGGAATGACACTCAATGTGGGAAGGACCTCAGGGAATAGCAAGGGAGTGGTCAGCGCTGGGAGAACTCTGTCCAGATGTGAGATGGTCACTTCGGCCAGATATACTTTTTTGAGTTTGTAAAAGTTTGGAGCATCCGGATAGCCGCAAAATGTCGAAGGAATGATAGCTTTGTCAAGTACAATATGTCTCAATCGCAATAAGGCTGAAACCTTCGATGGAAACGCGCGCCCGCAGCGCAAACCCTTTGCGCTGCATTTGCCATCATAGTCGAAGAAAATGATGAGGGAATAGAGAGGTTGAGAGGTCCCAAACGACTATTTGCATCAAATCGCAGACGTGATGCTGAACCATGGCTTGGACAAACGTGTAAGCGGCGCATCTGAATACATCAAATACGCGTAAAACCGGCGATTTTGTCGCCGATATTGGCGATCGCCAGTCGCTACGACGGGCGATCGCCAGTCGCCAGTGTTGGCGACTACACATTGAATGTGTATCGATTGGACGGGTGGTAACTTATTAGCGATCGATACGCATAGAAGACACAGTCGCCAGTATTGGCGACTGTGTCTTCTATGCGACTGGCGATCTCCCGTCGCCATGCTATACTCCTCGAAGAGTATAGCGCCTGCTTAAGAGACCAGCTACGGTTTAGAATGAGACGGGAAAATCAAACACATCGGGGGTGATACGCTAATCAGTAGAAGAACACTATCCGTCCGTATTCCATCATCTTTTTACAGATGTCAAGTTCCGTATCTTTTGTTCTGGCATATTTAATGTGTTAAACAAATACAAGAATACTACACATTTTGACTTGACTTACGCTCAGTGGCAAGGTTTCAGAGAGCTACAGCAGATGATTGACAATGGTAGCGTTCGCCTATCTGTTAGAGCTACAAAGGAGGCGAGTTTGTCGTAATGTGTCAAAAACTAGATCGAGAGATTACCAAGCTTCATCTCTCAGACACTACGGCATACCGTCGCGTAACCAAAAAGGAGTATGTCTTTCAGTACAAATGCCTAAATCATGTTTGGATGATGCTTGGAAAGAAAGCTGGTCTCAGCGAACGATTTCTCAATAGGCTTAAGCTGGACCATCCAACTTGTCCGGTTTTTATAGCTCAATAAAAACGCGTAAGCTTCCCTTTTGCGATACCCCCTCCGCGCCAGCTACAGATTACAAGATCCGGCCAATCATCAGTTGCATGAACGACCCAACTGACGGGATAGCATGATTCCTCAACAAAATTGTCAGTCCACTTCCCAATCATGTCCCCTCCCGTCTGACCAACGTTAGACACTTCCTTGACCAGAAAGTTTTTCGATCAGAACAGCGTCATAGACTCATTTGACATGACGTCGCTATACACCAATGTCTCCAGCAGCACTACAGGCGTTGCTGAGATGCTTGATGAGCGCGGTGCAAACATGATGACATATGGCTCAGTGAGACGCGGCTTATGACTCTAATAAGACAGTGCCTTAGCTGCAATTATTCAGGTGGTCTGGAGAATATTATTCTCAAGTAAGGGACCTGACAATGGGTTAGAGACTAGCACCCGTACTCGACGTTTGCTTTATGAGCAAAATAGAAAAACTGGTGCCGTCTGAAAATCCACTTATGTACTGCAGTACATATACGACTGCTGTATAATAACATCGGCTCAGTCCAACATGGACGAGTGCTTCGAAGTACTGATTCAGCAATCTCAATACGTAAGCACGAGAGAGAAATAAACGAAGGTTGGTTGCCATATCTGAACACCCAACTGATGTTGACTTCTGGCGGGGTACGAATAAAATGGTAATCGCAAAGCAAGCTGTAAGAACATCCTTTTACATAACAACTCTGCCCACACGATTGCCATTCGTGCTGTTTTGCGAAATGGCAACTAACATTTGTAGTGGCGAGAGTGAGCGACAGGAATCTCGAATGCTGGCGTCCGCAATAGCAGCATCAAACCAGATCTAGCTTGATCCCTTTCAGCTTACCGTTTACCTCAGACAGGGTAACACACGCGACACAAAATTGTTTGGTGCAACCCAGCTAGAACGTGACGTCGTTCTCGTTAATATACCACGGAACAACATCAGAAAGCATTTTGTGCGTAACAGATTGTGCGACATAGCTTGCACCTCTCAATGCTACGTCATTGCCCTTACGGAAAGCCGGGGGATTGCGCAAGATCTGGAGTAGTCTACGAATTAAAACGCCTAATCTGCCATGCTGCATATATCGGCGAGACCGGGCGACCACTCTTCATATGCGTAAACGAGCGCTTGGCGAGTAAAAAACGGGAAAACGTAGCGGAGCGGCCCCACTAGAAAAACACAAGAAAGTTGATCATGTCGGCAATGATTTTAATGTTAAAGGCACCGTTTACCCTAAGTTGAGGGTGTTGAGCTTTTGGCAGCATATGACACTAGGGCCTCCTATCAAGCCAATGCCCAAGTCGCGGCTTAAAAAATCGCTTCGGAATAGCGAAGATGCACGAGGACCCCCATCCACGCCCGCCTCTCCTCATTCATGCCCGCCCATTTGTGCGCGCTCATCCAATCATTCTGAAAAGATGGTTTGTGGGTTTTCCGGAATGGGGATTTTTGAGATTTTCGCGGACTCTCGACTTCATATCTAGAATCAGGGACATGAGAAAGGCCTGAAACGACAAAAACCTGGAAGTCGAGTATCTAAGTGGACGGTGCCTTTATGTGCGTTGTCCTAGCTGTAGAGGCCAAAATTTCTGCTTGCAAAGCCTTGGAAGCGTCATTCATTCTATCCAGGGAGCCTAAAATGAATGGCAAAAATAAACAATTCTCTATCACAAGTGATCTCATGCCGTTCCTGTCTATTGCCAGCTATAACGCCTATTATACAAACAGATCCTTAGAAGGACCACGTTCATACTTTCGTCATCTCTGTGTGAAGCTAGGCACTGCTCTCGAAACGCATTGTCAGCGTGACCCCTGGTGAGTTGTTTGTGAGTTGGATACTCGTTGGTGTCCACTTAAGGCCCTGGTCAGACTTCACGCGACTTAATCGTCGCGATCTAATCGCCAAGATTTCCATTCATTTTCATTTCACATTCAAAAATTTTGAGCTGGAAAAGTATCACAACCGAATGCAAGATGATCGGCATGGAATGATGTTGTAACAGTTCTCTCGTCGCGACTTAGTCGCGACGATCAAATCGCGTGAAGTCTGCCCGGGGCCTAAAATGAATTGATTAGTCGAGTTTAAAGGAGAGATTTGGCCGTGTAAAGTGCAAGATTAAGGTGAAAGGCTGACTTTCAGGCCTTTGAGGAAAAGGCATTAGTGCCGAAACGTTAGGCCGAATGAAACATTCATATCAGACCTGTCTGGCAAAGAAAGCTACTGAATATAGAACACAATGCCTACGTTTTACGAACAGAAAACGTACCAGAAAAAGGAGCCGTGTATCAGTTGCCATTTAAAGAGAAAAGACTTTTTGAATATTTATTGGCTACTTTCTTTCAAAAAAAGCGGATTACGCTTCTGTTGGAGACGCTGTGTAAGTCTCATTCGGTGTTGGAGCGCGAAGTTTCTGCCCGTGAATGAGCTAGTATTGGTGTTTGTTCAATCTTGCGCTCGCTGGATCTACTCACAGTTTGAGCCTATTTATGTGCACCGTTTGTGGGGCGGCTTCGTGAGCAAACTCTTGATTATGATGTTCGGACGTGAGATAGATACAATTTCAAAGGGACCTTTTCATTGGATTGTCAGTTTAGGACGAACTATGTCATCATGAGAGAAGACAAGGTCTTCAATGGAAAGTTTTTTGGTATACCTTCTTTTGGAAATTTGATCCAGCCTGCCTTCGCTGCGATACTGCTTCCTACCTCCACTATTGTAGTGCAAGGCGGCTGAAAACTGTCCTGCGAACTTATCTGTAAATAGTGTGGAAGGTGATTCATGGGCGATGTCTGTACACGTCACCGGGTGTCTTCTGTGCACCACAAAGAAGGAGCTGTAACCAGTTGATTCACTCTTACTGCAATTATACAGGGTGTCCCAAAAATGTGCACACTGTCTGATCGTTAATAACTTTCCTTGCTCTTATGTCTTTCGCCGACCTTTATCTAGGTACCATTCTTTAGAGCGAGGTTTAGCTTAGATTGATTGGGGATCATTAGAGATTATACAAAGAGCTGGAATATGCGGATTGGACAACTTTTGGCTCCAGTTCAATATGTTAATAGTAAAGGATAATAGTACTTTGGGACAGACAGACAGCGTGAAATCCAGACATCTGGATCTTCAGGACGTGAGGCTTTCTTCTAGCTGCAGTCCCCTTCTAAAACTCTGGTGCAGGACAAGTCGCATAACCATAATGGCATGAGAAATTTTCAAAGGACCGACCGCACGTACCTCGTTAGCAGAGTAATGGTCGGCAAGCTTCTTTCTGATAAACATTGCTTGTTCGAGGTTGGAATTTCTCCAATTCGATGCTTATAGCTTTCTTTCGTATTGACATTTTCTTTCCCACTTATCCAGCTAGAATAAAAAGCCACCTCCCTTTTTCTTCCTCAATGCGTATTACAACATGCCAATTACCATCGAAATCACAACCATGCGTGATGGGAATGCGCAGATGTGATCACCCGACACACTTATTTCATATCACGGCTGACCAAACACGTTATCAGTTCGTCTCTTAAACCCATATTCTCGATACATGGAGCCGCGTACTTTGGTAACCTCCACCTTGAAGGCTATGAAGGGACGCAACCTTCACCTGGAAAAAACAAAAGTCATCCGGGGCTTCTCCCCGGATGTTATTATCCTGACTATATCGAAACGAATGTTATTGAATAACTTAGGTGTTAATGAATATCTTTGGGTTATCTCAGCGAAACCGAGAATTTGCATTTTCATAGCCTTTTTTTAACGTTTAAAAGAAGCTTTCTGTAAAATTCGCCGAGAACGACGACGTTTCTCAGTTAATTTCTTATTTGACCAAAATCGAGTTTCAGAAGTTTAGGAAAGCTATTGGATTGACTAAAAACGAGAAACTGCGCTTAAATCTTGCGCAGAGAGTCGCGCACGAAAACGCTGGTCTATCTCGTCAATGAGTGATTTTTAAAGCTTGGGACATCGTCATTTCTCCTCGTCGTATATGACGATCAGAATGTATAATGTTGCAGGTGTCGCTGTGACCCCGCGAGATCTACGACCAGAGACAAATGCCCGTCGGCTCTGGTCTGTCTCCGCTGCTCGTCTGGGTCTCCGCACGCTGCGGGCGGGACGCGGGGCATTTGGCTCTGGTACCCTTTTCTTCGCTGTTTCGAAACCAATTATAGCAAGCTAAATATCACCAGTGCATCACCTCGGGCTACATCTTTGGGCACAAAAATCTTCTCAAATTATCACGTAAAATCTTGCGAAATTAAACATTTACACAACTAATTCTTTTTGACGCCATCTTCGTATAGTAACCAACCTTAGTTAAATTTTTTGTGCTAAAGTCCATGGCTTGTACATTAGCTTGTCAAACATATCCACGACTTTGCAAAAAATTTATATACGGACCCAATTTTGCTGGTTAGAAGCTAAGTGGACCCGTTTCACACGGAGTTTCCAGGGGAATCACTTATCAGATCCGCTTGCGCTTTTGCACAAAGGACTTTCCTGCTGCTAGGATGTGCTATGCAAAATTTGGGCTCAAGAGGTTGGCTCTCAGTACGAATTTTTAAGGGACAGACAGACAGACACACAAAAAACGTAAACAACCCATAGCCCGTTATTACAAGTTAGTAGCTGGTAATCCCGGTTTCACCCGAGACTAAATTAGCCAAACCAAAATGTTTTACTTACACTTCTAAACTTGCGAAAAGAGCGTCGAGACGAACTGCCGCATTCCGCCGACTTCAATGTTAGAATGAGTTTCACCGCCTTGCTTACATGTTCTTGCGAAATGATTGGTTAGAACATGCTGAATTTCACAGATGCAAGTAAACAAATCAATAACCCAATAGATTTCTCAGCTAATCGCTGCAAGAAATGGCGTTAAACCACCTTCGGAGTCGAGTACATATGTGTGCAAAGCGTTTCTATAACGAACGAATAAACAAACACACAAAGTTTGAGTTATATATATATATGTATATATATATCTTATATATAAAGCTGAATGTCTGTTTGTATGTCTGTATGTATGTCTGTATGTATGTCTGTATGTACGTATGTTCCGAATAGAAAATTCCATTTCTTAACCGATCCGGACCAACTTGGCACACATACACTTCGGGCCCCGGCGGGTGTCATAGGCTACTTTTCGTCATCGATCGATATCGGTTTTATCAATTTTTTGCAAAATTTGAGCTACTGGGCTGGGAGTTGGCACAGGGGGGTAATCGAGCATGCTGATCACCCCCGTGGGGGTTTTATAGAGACGCTCAATCGGCGCGAACTTTGCACTGTTGGAAAGAGCTTGTGAAAGAACCTACAATACTGACTGCTCCGATTTATGTTGCAAGTTTCCGATTTCTTATGACCCCACACGAAAAATTCAAATTTTGAGTGATTTTGATTTTGAGCTTCTATCTCCTTCATTTGTATACATTAACGAACATTTCAAGCAAGGTTGCAAAGAGCATGAGTTCCTCTCTTATACAAAATTTTGATCGAACAAATTCGTTGAGAACTTAAAGAGTTATGAATTTTCGAATTTGGTGCGAAAGAACTTTTGCATCAACCTAATATACAGGGTGTCCCAAAAAAATGTTTAGAACGTTTGATCGTTAATATCTCTGTTCCCAAGAAGTCTTTTGCCTTGCTTCAGGTACCGTTTTGTAGAGCTGGCTCCAACTTAGATTTGCAGTATAGAACGAATCACCCATCTTTCTTCATTACTGTAGGATTACGGTAGAAACTTTAAACATATGGTGTCAATGTGGAAAAAACTGCCGTTTCAAAATTTTTCAGAAAAATGTGAAAACTTTTGTAATAGGGTTTTTATGGACTCTGAGTTCAATACTCAACTATTCGCAAGATTGCGAAGCTTTCTAAACGGTGTAACCGCACTTTTTAGGAACATTGAAAAAATGGCCGCTACTTCTTACCTGGCATAACTCTTCAATGAAGCACAACAATAAGTTGGGAAATTTACAGTTATAATCAGCAACTCTAATTAGCCTAGTGTAAAATTTTTCAGGCTGATTTGTCTCCTTTCTGAGGCAAAATATGGCCTTCCTTGGCCTAAAACCCTCTTTTAAATTTCTACCGTAATCCTTCAGTAAAGTAGAAAGATGAACGATTCGCTCTATACTGTAAATCTAAGTTGAGGCCAGCTCTACAAAATGGTACCTGAAGCGAGGCAAAAGACTTCTTGGAAAAGAGATATTAACGATCAAACAGTGTATACATGCTTTACGGACACCCTGTATATACATATTAGGTTGTCCCGAAAGTTGTGTCGGTTTTTTTCATCGCTCACTAAAACTCACGGAACACCAATCTATAGACAGTTTAGGGACCATTTGATTCAGATTTTCATCCTCTTTCTTATAGCTGTATGTGCTTTTTGATCTATTCTGTATTTGCAATGTTATCGCCAAGTACTCTGCGTTGATACCACTGCTT